AAAAAGGAAGTATGATTCTAACTTTCCTTTAATCCCAACCATGAAATAAAAACCCTTAAAGATCATAAAAAATCCACTTGAAAAAGTTGTGGTCCTTTCTCTACAGGACACCAAACACATGTTGACCAGACACACATGTAGACTCGCTAAATCGAGAAAAGTCACGTATTGGTCAAACAAAGGATAAAATATTTGTAAAGAAATATTTTATATCAACTAGATTTTTACATTAAATATGTAAATTAAAAATCATCATCTTCTCTATAAAACATTATTAAATATATAATCGTGGTGTATGTGTTATTTACACAATAACAAGATAATAAATAATTATTACATTAATACGTATGAGTATGTTATATTGTTAATTATAATATTTATAATATAATAAATATTATGTATAATTTATACCTTGAAATATGTAATTAGTAAAGTGTATAGTAAATAAGATACGTAGTGTTGTGCAGTGCAGTGTTGCTGGAAACAGCATAGAATAAGAAAATATAAAGAGCATGCGCAAAAAAGCCACATGGACTCACAGCTGAGCGCTTCTCCACTACTTGTACTTTATGCTTTACGTCAGATCTTAAGGCTTAAGCAGAATAGATTCTTGAACGGGAACGCAATCGTAAACGGAAACGTAAGAATGAGTAAGAGAAGGATAGCGAATATTTTTATTCTTCTCTCACCCATTCTTACGTTTCCGTTCACGATTGCGTTCCCGTTCAAGAATCTACACTGAAAAAGTCTTGGGCGTTTAGAATTCCCAACGCATGTATGAGAAGCACCAAATAAAGAGATTCTGCACAACTTCATTGTGGGGCTAACTGTTTCCCATCTTGGATGCTCTGAGTGCCCAAGTCTGATGCTGCAGCATCACCAAATCTTGGTAACAATAACGTGGAACATCTGCTCGCCCAACATTTAGCATAGAGGTTGCTCAAAATCATGCTCCAGACACTCCAAAGCAAAGAGCTACTGCATTTCCACTGTTGGAACTGCTGATCGCTTAAGACTTTTTCAGTGTATTCTGCTTAGGCCTTAACAGACTTCGTCACACAAAGATTATCTCTCTCATCGTTCTTTAAAGAGCGACGAAGATGGAACGTGCGCACTGCGCTTGCGTACAATTTTAAAAGGCGATTACTATCCGTGAACGAAGGCAGACATTTGGCTTAACTTTCCACTGCTGAAAGCATTGCAGTGCAGTCTCCTTATTATTACTCCATGCCTTTGACTTGTCGAGTTCGCTCCAAGTCAACTTTGTATTTGTCTCTTTTTATATTTAATAAAAGCTTGGGTTTTAATCTAGAATTCGGAACAATTAATAATTGGTTAATTCGTTATCTAATTATTATTGTTCGTCTTCAAGAGGATTTTCCCTCCGTTTTAACGGAAATTAATTGTGTAATTATTTAAACTTTCCCGGTTCATCTTAATGATTAACACTAAGGCTGAATCCACAAATAACAAGTGAAATTGCGCTTGCGCAATTAAATATACAACTTGGCTCGTAACAGATGGCTGATGGATAGATGGTTTTAATAATGTTAATATTTAATATTATTTCAACCATCAAACGTTCAGAACTATCAATCACTATCAAACAACCAACAAACGTTTACTAATGAAAAAATAGTATTTTATTAAAATTGGGGTGCACCGTGAAATTAGCACACGAATATTTGATGTTTGTTTATTGTTTCTAATTATTTCCATCAAACATTGGGTATCAACCATCAATCACTTTCAAACGACCAACAAAAGTTTAAAAAAAAGAAAATTGTTTTTGATTAAGGGCGCATTCACACCTCTGGCTATATTAATGGCTATATTAATATAGCTCTACTTTTATAACAAAATAAATATTAAATGGTTGAAATATATTTTTACAACTTTACGCATTAAATGCTATTTAGAATTCAAAAGTTTCAAAACCGTATGAGGGTTAATTCCATTTAAATAAAATAATTATTTATTAAATTAAGTGGGTGTATAAAGTACATTTTAAATAATAATATTATAAATATTATTATGCAATAAACTATTGTACATACACTGTATAAAAATATTTACTGACATAAATAAATTTTCAAAAACATTTTGATCTTATTTTAAATGAAGAATTTCTGCTTTCATTAATTTTTCTCCATTTTGTAAGTAAATCCACTTATTGTATTGGTCGGTAGGCGTCCCTGGCGGATTGTGAAAACCGAGTTGTAACCGAATTGGGTTACGATTCGGTTACGATTCGGTTACGTTTCGGTTCATTGTGAAATATTATCGTTAATCGACGAAATATGTAGTAAATAACTATTAGGAATGGTTATTATACATTTAGAGAGCTTATTTATGCAATAATAATAATAAATTAAAATATAATTAATTAATAATAAGTATTTTAAGTGTACAGTGCATACAGTTGTTGAATTACCATATATATGTATATTACCATTAACGGCAGCTGTGATACGCGCGTTAAACCCTAGATGGCGTTAAGGATCACTTTTTCGAATGAATTTCTAAAATTAAGCCCTTGAGTGTCAAATGTGTAAGTGAATATATAAGTTTTAAAAAAATAGATCAATTTATTATAACAACTTTTTTGACTTGTACAAATATAAAAAATAAATTTTTATAACGAACAAAAATTTTTTTAATAAGAAAAAGTTTTTTTTGTGTCAAAATTATTCTTTCTCATTTTATTGAAAAAAAAAATTTTTTTATTCAGAAAAAAAAAATTTTTTAGGGAAAAAAAGTTTTTTTATGTCAAAATTAATGTTTCTCATTTCATTGAGGAAAAAAATTATTTTAAGAATAAAAAATTTTTTTTCAAAAAATTTTTTTTCAAAATTAATCTTTCTCATTTTATTGATGAAAATAAAAATAATAATTAAACAAATAACAAAAATAATTTTAAATAATAATTACAATAATAATAATTAAACAAATAACAAAAATAAACATTTTTTTCTTAATAAAATTTCTTTTTCTTCAATAAAATAAAAAAGATTAATTTTGAAAAAAACTTTTTCTCATTAAAAAAATTTTTGTTCGTTATAAAAATTTATTTTTTATATTTGTACAAATCAAAAAAGTTGTTTTAATAAATTGATCTATTTTTTTAAAACTTATATATTCACTTACACATTTGACACTCAATGGCTTAATTTTAGAAATTCATTCGAAAAAGTGATCCTTAACGCCATCTAGGGTTTAACGCGCGTATCACAGCTGCCGCTAATGGTAATATACATATATGTATATGGTAATTCAACAACTGTATGCACTGTACACTTAAAACACTTATTATTAATTAATTATATCTTAATTTATTATTATTATTGCATAAATAAGCTCTCTAAATGTATATTAACCATTACTAATAGTTATTTACTACATATTTCGTCAATTAACGATATTATTTCACAATGAACCGAAACGTAACCGAATCGTAACCGAATCGTAACCCAATTCGGTTACAACTCGGTTTTCCCAATCCGCCAGGGACGTGGTACATTTTGTGGCCTATGCTCTCTTAATTTGAATCAGTAAAATATCCAGAAGTCGGTTACTGAATTATTTAGTGAAATTTCCACTGGAAATCAGTGATATATGACTGAATTTCAGTGAAAAATTTTCTAAATGATATAGTAACCGACTTCTGGCTATTTCACCTGTGAAATTTTACTGTTTTTAAATTAAGAGAGACACTTTTAACATACCATGTTTAAATACAAGTCTTAAATCGACATCCAAGTTTTAATAAATTTGTTTCAGTCCTTTAAAGTCTACAACAAAATGAGCGGGATATACAAATCATTCATCATAAATAAACCTTACACTTGAAAATTGTGCACCATTAATTCTACAATAAAATCCTACTCCAGCATATATAATAAAATTAAATTGATATGTAATTTTTTACTCAACACAATTAAATACTAGATAATAAAATCTTACACGTTAAAATTTAACCATAGAAAATATTACACATTTAATCTGCACGAAAAAATTGTACACAATGAGTAATTAGCCGTGTAGAATTTGTTTCGCACAATTTATTGTATAGAATTAAATTAATCGTTAAACATAATTTTTTAATTAAAAATTTTATTCCACTTTTTACTGAATTGTAGAATTTTTCTTGAGTAAGTTTTATGTATAAGGTTTTCCAGCGTGCAATTTAACGTATAGGATATTTTAAATAATATTTATTTATTTACTTGAAATTTTTTTTTCAAATCTCATTGTTTAGAATTTTTTGTGCAGATTTAATGTATAGAATTTTCTAGCATAGAATTTAACGCATATGGTTTTGTTATAGTATTTAATTGTGTTGAATACAATTTTCAAGTGAAGTGTTTATTTGTCAATTATAAGCTTCAAAACTGTTAAACATATTTTTTTGAAATATGAAGAATAACCATTTAAATTTTAATTTAATGTTTATTACATATCAACATCTCTTATTAATAAGGTTTAAAAGAAGAAATAACTTCCACGCAGATTCTCGTCCAGATTTTTCGAAAAATCTATACTTTATGAATTTTCGTCTAAAAATGCGTGTTGAATTTTTCATTAAAAACGTCGCACTTTTCGTTAAAAAAAGTTGTCAACAGATGAGAAATTTATACTAACCGAGGTTTGTCTATATAAGTAAACATATTACTAAAATACTTGTCTGTGGAGAGATAAATTAAATATTTTAATATATTCACTTAATGAAAATAAATTGAAATTATGTTAGGCATTCTTACAAGGAATATTTTTGAATCAAAGAATACAATTTTAATTTCTTAGAGACAAAAAATTAACCTCTTAGCTTCAAAGAAGGGAAAAAAATTAGACAGAAATTGTAATTTTTACTGTCAGTCAATATTTCTTGTGACAAGAAAGAAGGAAACTTAAGTGCAATTTCTATTGCAAAGAAAGGAATTTTAATGGCCAATCAGCGAAAAGCATGTTATTTCTTAGAATCGGAAAACAGAGGTCTCCACAAAAAAGATAAAAAAGTGTCTGATGAAAGAAGGGGTGGAGGAGTCAATTTGATAAAATTGGTGTTAATTTAACGTTCAGTAGACAAATTTTCTACGCTTTTTTTGGACCAATAAATCAGGTAAAATATTTTAATAAATAAATGTACACGTAAAAATAAAAAATAAAAATTAATTACTTTTTAATAATTAAAAGCATTTGATATTTACAAAACATGCCCACCACGTGTTTAGTTATAAAATCTTTTACTCTTATCTAATTTTTCTTTTTGAATTTTACTGTAACTTTTAATTAATAAATGATTTAAACAAAAGTATATATAAAATACATAATTCTTATTATGAACCCTACCGGAAGGGTGGTACTGGATTGGTACTGGGAAATTGGAACTGAGATCTCAGTACCAACTCAGTACTAATTTGGTGCATTTTGGTACTGAAATGGAACTGGGAAATTTACCTGCGAAAAGGGTCGAGTTACCGTTAATACCCTCATAAAAGTGAAAAGCGACTAGCTTTTTCAATATGTTTAAACTAAAACTTTATATTTATTTCAATATTATATTTGTTTTTCATGGATTTATATTATTTTCATACATTATTATGCATATGATATTTCCTTTGTCAGCTAAATTCAAAAATGATGTCCATTTTTTTATCAAACTTAAGGTATACGAGATCAATTATAACTTTTTTAAATGTAATTATTTTATGATAAATTTTAGATATTCATAATCTGGAAATATTAACGAATCTGAATATATATTTTTTAAAGTTGAGTTATTAAAATTACAAATTTTTTAAGCAATAAAACTCGGGTTAAAATTTTAATCCTCCAACAAAGGACCTAGGGATCTATTGTTCAAGAAGGGATTGCAATATAATTTCCAAACTTAACAGAAATTTTCTACAAACTATTATGCTTTTTTTTGCTGTTTTACACGTATATCATGAGAGACGGTTTGTTGATCTTATATACCTTTAAAACTATTGTTAAAGTACTTTAAAAATGTCTTCTTATGGGTTATCAGGTAGTGGTACTGAAGTGGAACTCAAGCCAAGTCCAATTCAGTACCATTCCAGTACCACTCTTTCGGTAGGGAAGACGGAAGAAATTAATTCGTTTTTAATAATAATTATAAGCAGTTGATATTTACAACGCATGCGCACAACAGGTGCTCGAAGAATTGTTATTTTTAATTAAATATATTTAAGTTTCATATCTATTTTGCATTCATAAAAGTATTATTAATTAACAGTGTGTCTAACAATCAGGAAAATACGGAAATTTAAATGGTCGGGAAAAAATAAAGCAAAAATAGATAATTTGATTAAGTTTCTGGACTTTCTGGTTAAATCATTAAATTTTTTTTAAATTTCTTTAAATTAATTTTTTTACAAACGAAACAATGTTCTTAATTTTGTACCTTGAATTCTAATTTTCTTGCATTTCTTTATTTTATTTCAATTTTTTGTTTCTAAAAATTGTCATCACCTAATATTTTTTTTTATTTATAAAAAATTTCGTTTTTTCTCAATTTTGTTTCTTAAATTTTGAATTTTTGTGTGAGTTCATACAATTTTTATATTTATTTACTTTTATAAACTAACGCTCAATGATTTTCAATTGTCCTACAACTTATAATTTTACTCTGAAAACGTATTAAATTTTCAATGATAATTTTTTCCACATTTTTTTCTTCAACTTCATTAGCCTTTCCCTGTTTTTAAATTCTGTTAACTAGAATTCTTAAAATTATTTATGTTTCTGTATAATTTCTATCATCTTTTTATTAATGCATAAATATATAAAATATATATAATTTGTTTTGACAAATTTCATTTTACAAGTTATGATAGCTTTTTTGAACCCCTTTCGATTGGTATAATATATTTTGAAAATAATTATAAATTTTACTTTTTTGGACGAAAGGCAAGATTTTTTTTATCTTTTCAGATGAGAAGTGGCGTTTTATCTTACGTACTTTTTATTCGAAAATTAATATTTATTCCCCAACAGCTACGGACATTTCAGAATATCCTATGGACATCCTATCCGTATCCGGGAATTTGGATATCTCTAGAATGTTCTCAGGATATCTATGGATATCCCTGAGACATTCTATGGATATCCTACATTCCGGTTATCCCTAAAACATCTATAAGATATCCTGAATATCCAAATGCTGTTAGGGTTAATATTTTTATTTAATAATTAGTATTATAAATAATTAATTTCTTTCCTATATGTTAATTTATCTTAAAAATTTATTAAGAACAATTATACTGTTATGCTGCATATTAATTATCAGTTACTACTCAAATAATATTTTTTACATTTGCCTACGAATTTATAGAAAATATTTTCATATATGACCTCTGGAACCTTTAACTTTTATGTCCTTCTGATCTTTTAGGTTGCTTTGTCTATAAAATTGACAATTATGGACCCAAATTTATTACCAATACCAGGTAAACGAAAATTTATTTTTTCATAATTCTGAACTATGTACTTATTATAGGATGATTTTAAAAAAGTTTATTTCGAAAAAATGTTTACGTCATATTTCACTAGTAAAACTTAATGTTTGTCAGGAACATCAAGAGAATGTGTAAATGAAATATTTCAAGAGGAGATTTTTTATCAAGAAGAAGTCGCCTTCGTTGATGAGGAAAATGATTCCCTGCTTCAAGAAGAAGCTGTTATCGACAATGCGCAAACTGACGACCACACCTATGCATTAGAGAGTATGTTTAAAAATATTTAATAAAATTGGAGAAAATTTAAAAGTAAATTTTAATTTTTACGATTATACTTTCAACAATTATTACAGTATAATGTACAAATACATCATTTTTTTCAAACATTCTTTAGAATAATATTATGTATTTGAGTTAAATTGTTACACTAATTCTTAAAATATGTTTTAAAGATTACAAAAGAATTTTATTCACTTAACAAAGAACATACGACTTTTCTAATTAGATAAAATTGTTAATTAATTTTACTTTCACAATCCTTTAGCTGAAAAAACTTATTCAAGTCGAATAACACAACCAGTCACAATGAGAACATATAAGACATATGAACGGCATTTTGGAACAACATATCGTTGGCACAAATCAGGGCGGCCAAAGAAAATCCCAAAGGACGGACGAACTTTCACGTACATATATTCTTACAAACTTCATTAAAATTACCCAACTGTTAAATAAGTAAAACAAAATGCAAATTTTTTTGATATAATATTTATACCACCCACACAGCCTGAACTTGCAGCAATATTCGCAACATTGCCTCAATATTGCTGAAATTTTCAAATGTTTAAAATAATTTGAATTTTCGATTAAAAATACTTTTTTTTATTATTAATTTTTAGCAATTTATTGTTGATTTTACAATTTTTGGTTAGAAACCTTTAATATTGTACTTAATTTAAAAACATCAATCAAATCAATTATTATTTACTCAATAATTATTTATGCCCTGGATTCTAGAAGGACACGTACATTTTTCCGGCCGGAAAACGAAGTCCTCTGGTCACTCAAAATTCATTTTTCGAATTTTAGTATTTTTCGAGCATATTCTTATACAGAATTCGATTTCGCATCTTTCTTAATAAAAAAAACTTTTCCGCCAACAGTTTTCTTTTTTAAATTTCCTGTTTTCCCGCACTTCGTTGAACCTGAAAAAACGAAAGAAAAAGAAATTCGACTAGTTTTGTCGAAATTGGACATTTTATCAGAAAAAATTTCGAAATTACTCGTGAAAAATCGAAATAATTTATTTTGTTGCCGTGGACAATTTTCTTTTTAAAAATTCATGTTTTCCCGCACTATGTTGATCCTGATAAAACGAAAGAAAAAGAATTCCGAACACTTTTGTCTTAATTTGACATTTTATCAAAAAAAATCGGAAACCACTCACGAAAAATCGAAATAAAATATTTTTTTACCGCCAACAATTTTTTTGTTTAAATTTCCTGTTTTCCCGCACTTCGTTGATCCTGAAAAAACGAAAGAAAAAGAAATTCGACTAGTTTTGTCGAAATTTGACATTTTATCAAAATAAATCGGAAACCACTCGCGAAAAATCGAAATAAAATATTTTTTTACCGCCAACAATTTTCTTGTTTAAATTTCCTGTTTTCCCGCACTTCGTTGATCCTGAAAAATCGAAAGAAAAACAAATCCGAACACTTTTGTCTTAATTTGACATTTTATCAAAAAAATCGGAAACCACTCGCGAAAAATCGAAGTAAAATATTTTTTTACCGCCAACAATTTTCTTTTTTAAATTTCCTGTTTTCCCGCTTTCGTTGATCCTGAAAAAACGAAAGAAAAAGAAATTCGACTAGTTTTGTCGAAATTGGACATTTTATCAAAAAAAATTTCGAAATTACTCGTGAAAAATGGAAATAATTTATTTTGTTGCCGTGGACAATTTTCTTTTTAAAAATTCATGTTTTCCCGCACTATGTTGATCCTGATAAAACGAAAGAAAAAGAATTCCGAACACTTTTGTCTTAATTTGTCAATTTATCAAAAAAAATCGTAAAACACTCGCGAAAAATCGAAATTATATCCACTTTTACGATAATTCGACTTTTAATCCGAAAAATATCTGAAAAACTCAGGAAAAATCGAAATAAAATATTTTTTTACCGCCAACAATTTTCTTTTTTAAATTTCCTGTTTTTCCGCACTTCGTTGATCCTGAAAAAACGAAAGAAAAAGAAATTCGACTAGTTTTGTCGCAATTTGACATTTTATCAAAATAAATCGGAAACCACTCGCGAAAAATCGAAATTATTTATTTTATTGCCGTGGACAATTTTCTTTTTTAAATTTCCTCTTTTCCCGCACTTCGTTGATCCTGAAAAAACGAAAGAAAAAGAAGTTCGACTTGTTTTGTCGAAATTTGACATTTTATCAAAATAAATCGGAAACCACTTGCGAAAAATCGAAATAAAATATTTTTTTACCGCCAACAATTTTCTTTTTTAAATTTCCTGTTTTCCCGCACTTCGTTGATCCTGAAAAATCGAAAGAAAAAGAAATCCGAACACTTTTGTCTTAATTTGACATTTTATCAAAAAAATCGGAAACCACTCGCGAAAAATCGAAGTAAAATATTTTTTTACCGCCAACAATTTTCTTTTTTAAATTTCCTGTTTTCCCGCTTTCGTTGATCCTGAAAAAACGAAAGAAAAAGAAATTCGACTAGTTTTGTCGAAATTGGACATTTTATCAAAAAAAATTTCGAAATTACTCGTGAAAAATGGAAATAATTTATTTTGTTGCCGTGGACAATTTTCTTTTTAAAAATTCATGTTTTCCCGCACTATGTTGATCCTGATAAAACGAAAGAAAAAGAATTCCGAACACTTTTGTCTTAATTTGTCAATTTATCAAAAAAAATCGTAAAACACTCGCGAAAAATCGAAATTATATCCACTTTTACGATAATTCGACTTTTAATCCGAAAAATATCTGAAAAACTCAGGAAAAATCGAAATAAAATATTTTTTTACCGCCAACAATTTTCTTTTTTAAATTTCCTGTTTTTCCGCACTTCGTTGATCCTGAAAAAACGAAAGAAAAAGAAATTCGACTAGTTTTGTCGCAATTTGACATTTTATCAAAATAAATCGGAAACCACTCGCGAAAAATCGAAATTATTTATTTTATTGCCGTGGACAATTTTCTTTTTTAAATTTCCTCTTTTCCCGCACTTCGTTGATCCTGAAAAAACGAAAGAAAAAGAAGTTCGACTTGTTTTGTCGAAATTTGACATCCCTGCTAAAAATAAAATCACAAAACGTCAAAAAATTAGTCAGGATCTCTGACGTTTTGAGACTGTTTTTGTTACGATTGCAGTCACAGAACACCACAATAAGTGAGGTTTAGTCAAAGAATCGTCAATAGTAGTCAGATTTTTTATGAGGGTCGGAGACCCTTTTTTTTGCCATACCATAAATCATTAAACCCTGTGACTATTTGTGATGTTAAATGACATTTCTTTCTATAAAATAGTTTTGAAGATTCCTGACTTACTTCTCATGAATTCTGACTACAAATATTTAAAAATTAAAAAAAATCAATATTTTATCATTAAAAAAATAAATTATCGTACAACATTTTTTTATCTTTACGTTACACATTCTTAATTATTATTTTTACAATTTATTATATTTATTTACTCCTATCGAAGAAAATCTCGCAAACGCAGGGAATCGAACTCACAACCTAACGAACGCAAACCGAATACCTAACCCCTGAGCTAAACTAACCTAACTGAGATCTTAAAAATAGAATACGGTTTTATGAAAATAGAAGATCTTATTACTTTTTTTCAATTTTATCAACATATTTTGTTGATAATTATTATTATTATTTTTAAAAAATTTTATAATTTTTAAAAATTAACAAGTAAAGTTAAAATAGTAATAGGTATATTGTTATATTGATCAAAAAACATTTGTAGTCCAATTATCATATATTAATGTATTCAATTAATAAAATTTGCTTCAGCAAATATTTAATTAAACAAAAAATTCGTATGTAAATATTATTTGAATTCGAACTTAAAAGAATATGTGTAATATACAAATAAAATAGTCTAGAATAATAAGATACTGCCGGATTGTCTCAAGTAAACTCTGAGCGAATTTTATCAGGTTTTTCGCTCACGTTTTAGCACATTCATCACTATTATAATTAATTATAATGATAAGAATTAATTAATATGCATATATTAATTACTATATTATTAAAATTCAATTTAACATAATTCTTCCACAAATCAACTAAATAATTACTAATTTTAATTTCTCTTTTTAGCATACTGCACTATAATTAGATGTAATATTTGGTTCAAATCAAATTTATATTTAGTGGAAACTGGATCAAATTCGCTCAGAGATTGATTGAGCGATCAATTCATATATTCTATTTTACAAGAGACCAGAATGTTTTTGCTCATCTATAGTTGTAAAAAAATAAACTTTTATGTGAAATAGCCAGCGATTTCTAATTTTTTTCAAATATATATATATATATAGAGTTAACACAATGGTAAGAATAGGTTTTCAACATATGTTGCTTTCTTATAACTAAATGTAAGGAAACTAGCTTACTGTAAAATAATAAATACAAATTTGAAGTAGGGACAAAAGTATAGTCGTAGTCATTGACGCCTTCCCTTTTCTGTCCTTGTCTTACAAACTTGATTCCATATATATTATATGTACGTTAGAAAAGGACAAAAAGAAAAGTATAGGCCAGAAGGATCTTTTATGGTTTTATGGCTTTTCATTGCAAAATTAAAAATTGTTGCATTTGAAAAAAATGATTTTTAAATATTATATTCGTAATGTACATGTTAATACAATTACAACGATATTAAATTTTTTGCAAATATTTTTAAATTATTGAGAATTAATTTTAATTAATGGAGTATTTATTGTATAATCATTATGTAATTTTAGAGTTTTTACATAATGTTTTATATCATTGGAATCGTTAAAATCTATAAATTACAAATATAACATTTAAAAAAATATTTATTTAAATTTAAATAATTTTTTATTTTGCATTAAAATGTCATAAAACCTGATGGACCCTCGAAAGGACCCTTCTGTTGGAAAAAGGGAATATATAATATAATAGAGTTATATGGTGGGTTTGAGTGGCCTTGGTACCTCTCTTGGAACCCTTTTTATAAAAAAAATAAAACGTAGTGAGAAATCGTCACTTTTTAGAAAACGTCAGGCCCATAAAAACTATTTAAGTCAGAATTAGTCAGCAGCATCACAGAACATCAAAATAGTCTCAAAACGTCAGGATTTCTGACGTTTTGAGACTGATTTCTGATTTTATTTTTAGCAGGGATTTTATCAAAATAAATCGGAAACCACTTGCGAAAAATCGAAATAAAATATTTTTTTACCGCCAACAATTTTCTTTTTTAAATTTCCTGTTTTCCCGCACTTCGTTGATCCTGAAAAATCGAAAGAAAAAGAAATCCGAACACTTTTGTCTTAATTTGACATTTTATCAAAAAAATCGGAAACCACTCGCGAAAAATCGAAATAAAATATTTTTTTACCGCCAACAGTTTTCTTTTTTAAATTTCCTGTTTTCCCGCACTTCGTTGAACCTGAAAAAACGAAAGAAAAAGAAATTCGACTAGTTTTGTCGAAATTGGAAATTTTATCAAAAAAAATTTCGAAATTACTCGTGAAAAATCGAAATAATTTATTTTGTTGCCGTGGACAATTTTCTTTTTAAAAATTCATGTTTTCCCGCACTATGTTGATCCTGATAAAACGAAAGAAAAAGAATTCCGAACACTTTTGTCTTAATTTGACATTTTATCAAAAAAAATCGGAAACCACTCACGAAAAATCGAAATAAAATATTTTTTTACCGCCAACAATTTTTTTGTTTAAATTTCCTGTTTTCCCGCACTTCGTTGATCCTGAAAAAACGAAAGAAAAAGAAATTCGACTAGTTTTGTCGAAATTTGACATTTTATCAAAATAAATCGGAAACCACTCGCGAAAAATCGAAATAAAATATTTTTTTACCGCCAACAATTTTCTTGTTTAAATTTCCTGTTTTCCCGCACTTCGTTGATCCTGAAAAATCGAAAGAAAAAGAAATCCGAACACTTTTGTCTTAATTTGACATTTTATCAAAAAAAATCGGAAACCACTCGCGAAAAATCGAAGTAAAATATTTTTTTACCGCCAACAATTTTCTTTTTTAAATTTCCTGTTTTCCCGCTTTCGTTGATCCTGAAAAAACGAAAGAAAAAGAAATTCGACTAGTTTTGTCGAAATTGGACATTTTATCAAAAAAAATTTCGAAATTACTCGTGAAAAATGGAAATAATTTATTTTGTTGCCGTGGACAATTTTCTTTTTAAAAATTCATGTTTTCCCGCACTATGTTGATCCTGATAAAACGAAAGAAAAAGAATTCCGAACACTTTTGTCTTAATTTGTCAATTTATCAAAAAAAATCGTAAAACACTCGCGAAAAATCGAAATTATATCCACTTTTACGATAATTCGACTTTTAATCCGAAAAATATCTGAAAAACTCAGGAAAAATCGAAATAAAATATTTTTTTACCGCCAACAATTTTCTTTTTTAAATTTCCTGTTTTTCCGCACTTCGTTGATCCTGAAAAAACGAAAGAAAAAGAAATTCGACTAGTTTTGTCGCAATTTGACATTTTATCAAAATAAATCGGAAACCACTCGCGAAAAATCGAAATTATTTATTTTATTGCCGTGGACAATTTTCTTTTTTAAATTTCCTCTTTTCCCGCACTTCGTTGATCCTGAAAAAACGAAAGAAAAAGAAGTTCGACTTGTTTTGTCGAAATTTGACATTTTATCAAAATAAATCGGAAACCACTTGCGAAAAATCGAAATAAAATATTTTTTTACCGCCAACAATTTTCTTTTTTAAGTTTCCTGTTTTCCCGCACTTCGTTGATCCTGAAAAATCGAAAGAAAAAGAAATCCGAACACTTTTGTCTTAATTTGACATTTTATCAAAAAAATCGGAAACCACTCGCGAAAAATCGAAATAAAATATTTTTTTACAGCCAACAGTTTTCTTTTTTAAATTTCCTGTTTTCCCGCACTTCGTTGAACCTGAAAAAACGAAAGAAAAAGAAATTCGACTAGTTTTGTCGATATTGGAAATTTTATCAAAAAAAATTTCGAAATTACTCGTGAAAAATCGAAATAATTTATTTTGTTGCCGTGGACAATTTTCTTTTTAAAAATTCATGTTTTCCCGCACTATGTTGATCCTGATAAAACGAAAGAAAAAGAATTCCGAACACTTTTGTCTTAATTTGACATTTTATCAAAAAAAATCGGAAACCACTCACGAAAAATCGAAATAAAATATTTTTTTACCGCCAACAATTTTTTTGTTTAAATTTCCTGTTTTCCCGCACTTCGTTGATCCTGAAAAAACGAAAGAAAAAGAAATTCGACTAGTTTTGTCGAAATTTGACATTTTATCAAAATAAATCGGAAACCACTCGCGAAAAATCGAAATAAAATATTTTTTTACCGCCAACAATTTTCTTGTTTAAATTTACTGTTTTCCCGCACTTCGTTGATCCTGAAAAATCGAAAGAAAAAGAA